CTCCCTGTGCTCTCCCCCGCAGCGTGCAGGACTATCCCAAGGTCGAGCGAGCCGGGCCGGAGCGGGGGCGCAGGGAGTCGGAGACTGTGGATGATGCGGAGGAGAGCTGAGGATGCAGCTCCCGCCCGGAGGAGGAGGAGGAGGCAGAGGGGCCCTGCTCGAGTTACTTCACTAAGTCACACAGTAGCTGATGTCCTAGGTCTTGTCCTGTGCCCCCGGCCCCGCGAAAGCACTGACGGCGGGGGGGCTGTGCTGGTTGTCTGTATTTGTCCCCTCTTTTTTTTCTTTTTCATTTTGGGTTTTTATTTGTTGTTTTATTTTTTTCATTCTTCCCCCTTACCTGATTTCTTGTGATTTCGACCGCCATGAAATGAATATAAAAGGTTTTTTAATGAAAAAAAAAAACAAAAACACAAGAAGCCCTAATGTCTTGTTTCTTGAGGCATCGCTGACTGTGACGAGGGGAGGGCAGGAGCGTCCCCCACCTTTCCCTCTGGCCCTTGCCCACCCCATGAGCCAGGATCAGGCACCCATGGGTGTCCTTGTTCCTGCCAGGCCCTGGCGAGGGGGACAGCCCCACCGAGCCGCTTTCTTCCTGATTTTGGGCCCTGCCTTGGATATGAGAGGGCTTTTCCAAACCCTGCTGCCTCCCATCACCTTCTCTCTGGCCACAGGCAGCTGCCGGAGCCAGGTCCCTCTGCTCGGAGGGAAACAGCAGGGCTGGACACCAGCGTTTGGGTTAAAAAAGAGTAAAAATTGTGCATTCTCTCCTATCTGGGCCAGGGAGGAACTGAACTGTGGCAGCATCCTGCCTTGTGCTGGGCAGCATCTTATTTTGTCCGTCTGTCCATCTGCTCTTTTGCAAAGAGCCGAAGCTTTTGTACGTGTAAAATAAAGATGTTCCCAGCTCAACCAGATGCTGCGTCCAGTCCTGTTTGTGCCGGGATGTGGGTGAGGATGCCCTGGCGCGCCTTTGAGGCCGCTGTTGCTGTAACTGCCCTGGGGAGAGGGTGAGTTTGTTCCAGGGCTGATTTCATGCTCCAGCCCTCTGTAAACAAAACCCAAATAAACCTCCCCCCGCCCTCTCAAAAAAAGCCCCTCTTGCCCAACTGCCGGGAAATGGGAGGCACAGTGGGAGATGGGTGCTGCTGCCCAGTGTGGGGCTGTGGTGGGGGAGGGGGAGGCTCAGCCCCATCCTTGGGCGGGGGGAGATGTGGGAGGAACCCAGACTCCAGTGCTGGGGACAGTGGATGGGGACAGGGGGATGTGACCGTGCCCAGGAGGGGCTGCTTAACCCCTGCAAGAAGCTTGTATTGGTGGTGGTGGGAGTCCAGGTCCTTCTCCTAGAGCTGCTGCAGCAGGGCCTTGACTCGGCTCATAGCAGCCAGGAAGGGCCAGGACAGGGCTCAGATTGGTCCTGGCTCTCCTTGGGCTGTGGGATGGGTTGGGGGCCCAGGACATGGAGGTCCTCATGATTCTGGGGGGGCTGCTCCTCCAGCACACCCCCTTCACTCACCCTCAGCCACAGGGGCTCTGCTCGGGGTGGTGGGGGTGGGAAGAGAGTGATGTCTTGGGCGCCCACCACCGTGTTGGCCACTTCAACAGCTTCTGTGGAAGCCGCAGCCCCTCTAAGGTCACACAGGGCTATGACAGCATCATTGTGTGTCCCCCCTCAGCCCCTGCTGGTGCAGGATGCAGCCATGGTGACCCTAATGCCACCCTGTCCACTCCCCCAAAAACAAACTCAGTCGAGTGCAAAACTAACCAGAGTTTATTGCTTCATAAGCCAGCCCCAACCATACAAAACAAGAGGGCTTGAAGGCACCAAGGACAAGGGGACATGGGGGCTGGAGGCGACCTCAAAAGGCACTTTGGGGACCCAAGGCACAGTACTGGACGTCCCCATCACAGGTGACATGGGACAGGGCAGGAGAGGTCCCTTGTATAGGCAGGCACTAAGGTTATGGGTATGGTAGGCCAGGCAGGGGTTAGTAGATGCTCTTACATCGATTTCGGGGGGGGAAACAACACCATCACCCCACTCCAGGGGGTGCTACTTGGTCTCCAGCTCTACCAGGCGCTGGCCCGAGGGGGCGAAGGGTCCCACCAGCCAGGTCAGGGGGGTGTTGTGGGCCACGTGCTCCACCAGCTCGTCCATCAGCTGCCGCGCTTTGGTGGCCCGGGCACGGGCTTGGGCCAGGACGGTGGCTGTCACATCCTGGAGGGAGGAGGCGGAGGAGAGGGCCACCCGCAGCTCCTCCACATTGTGCCTGACCTGTCCCGCCTTGTCTTGGATGCTGGCGGGGAGGCCCTGGAGGCTGGAGAGCAAGGGCTGGCAGGAGCTCTGGAGCTGCTGTGTCAAGCCCTGCAGCAGGGCCAAGGTGCCGGACTCCACTGCCTGTGGGGGGACAAGGGGGTGGTGAGGGACGCAGAGTGACCCCAGAGACCCTCCCATCACCCTCCACCTACCTCTGGTGGCACCAGGTCCTTGCCACCACCTGGCTGCTTCTTGCTCCACTCCAGCCACATCTGCTGCAGCTTCTCCTGCCCTCCCTGCAGCTTCTGGTCCATGCCCTGCTTGAGATGCTCCACCTGGGAGGAGACAGAGCCAGGCATGAGGCAGTCTGCAGAG